CAACGGCCTTCAACCCCGAGCCCCCTAACCTCGACGCCCCCTTCACCCCGACACCCGTCAACCCCAACGCCTGTTAACCCCGAGGTTACCCAACCTGATGACCCTCCAAAATGACACCCCCCCAACCTGGATGGCCACTAACCCCGGTGCCTCCTAACCTGCCGTTTCCCAACCCTGCAGCCCACTTGCGCCCCTTCCCTCTGGCTCTGTGCTGTCCCAGATGGAGAAGCAATGGCTTCCACTTTGCCTCCCTAGCACGCGCTGGGGGCCATGAGCTCTACCCCACCTCAAATGTGCAGGGTGGGGTGCGTGGGGAGACTGCCTGGTCAGGGCACTAGCAGACCACAGAGCTGGGGTCAAGGGCGCTGCTGGCCTTTCAGGAGACTGAGAAGGAAGGGTTCTCCATGTGGTGGCAGAGGACACAGGACATTTGACCCAGGAGAAAGTGGGCTATGACCTTGCATCTGCCTTCTGCATCCTGATTTCTCTGGGTGGGATTTTGGAAGAGATAAATCCTCCCTTGTTGCTGCTTTTCTAAGGGGTCTGGGAGCCACAAGGTGAAGGCCCCAGACCTGGCTCCTCACCTCTAGACAGGGGGAAAGTGAACCAGGCAGGTCCTCAATTCATCATCTCCTGGACCCAACACACCCACCTTGAGGTCAACCACACCGGATAGGAAATCCCCTGACACAGGCCACTAGGTGTTCTCACAGTCTGCTGCCTGGCCTGGCCCCACACACCCCTACCTCACCCCCCAGCCACAGCCTCATCGCCGAGGCACTGGGAGCTCCTGGCTGCACTAGGCCTTGGCTGAGCTGCCCACACCCACCCTTGACCAGCTGGGAGAGGAGTAGGACTTGGCTGCGGTTCCGGGTTCCTGGGCAGCCATGGGAGAGCTGTTTACAGAGAGGGAAGTGGCTCTGGTGTTTCTCTTCTTGGAGAACACAGCTTTCCACCAGGGTTTTCCTTTCGGTGAAGACATAATTTAAGGAGAAGAGGAACCCAGGAGAAAAGGCTGAAGGCATTGCTCTGCCGCATGAGCGTGAGTTGAGGGAACATTTGCCCTGAACCAGTGCTTCTTTTCACCTTGACTGTTTTTTTCATTTTTAGCCATGAAGCAAGAGGAAGATGCCAGCCCAGAGGTATGGAACTAGATGGTTCCGGGGATGAATCAGAGCCTCAAAATTCCCAGTTAGGGGTGTTTCTGCATTTGCTCTGTGGGCAGCTCCTTGAAGTTGGCTAAATGTGGGAGAGGTGGTCTGGGCCCCTCTGTCTCCTTGTCGGATCTTGAGGCCACTTCTTCTCTGAGGTCAAAACTCAGTTCCTGCTCCCCCCTAGGACTTCTGCTTGTTTGTTTAAAAAAAATTTTTTTAATGTTTATTTTTCAGAGAGAAAGAGAGAGAGAGAGAGAGTGAGTGTGTGAGTGAGGGAGTTGTAGAGAGAGGGGAAGACACAGAATCCAAAGAGGCTCCAGGCTCTGAGCTGTTAGCACAGAGCCTGATGTGGGGGCTTGAACCCATGAACTGTGAGATCATGATCTCAGCTGAAGTCAGATGCTTAACTGACTGAGCCACCCAGGTGCCCCAGACTTCTTGTTTTGATGGGAGTCTTTTCCTTAGTGGAACATCTGTAGCTACATCACAAAGGCCTTTCTCTATTCCTGAAACAGAAAAGTAGATACATTAAAACAACCACGAAAGCCTGAGATGCTCAACCGTACGAAATTATATAACTAGATTATGGGACACCTGTGTGACCCTTTCCGTGGATATCCCTGGTTGTCCCCAAAGCGGTGGTTGAGCTCTAAGGGACACAGTTAGTGAAGGGTGTGGTTGTGAGTGCTGTCATGTTGAGAGCTGAGCACAATTGAGGCCAGGAGAGGCTGGATGCCTCAGCTCTGAAGCAAAAAACTCCCACAGCTTCCATTTGCCTCCTGAACCAAGTTCAAAAACATGGTTTTCTGGACCACTTACTTATTCTGCCTTGAGGCAACTGATATTCTGCTTTTGAGACCCTTTTCTGAATGCCCTTCCATTTCACTGGGTTTTCTGGTGTCTAATGCTGGCTTCTGCTTTAGTTCTTGGCACTTGTGTAGAAACTAGAGAGGATTAACAGGGGCTCCCTGCCCTCTCCTCTTCCTGGCCTCTTGGGAGGAGGTGTGTGGGCACCAGGAGGAATGCACAGTGGCTGCTTGTTTCACTGGTTTCTCTTGCTTGTTTTCATCTTCATCATTTTGGGGGAATCAGCCAGTACCCTCCAGGTAGGTGGCCCCAGCCATCTGCCCACTCACCCTCCTGTGCTCACTTTTCTCTTCCTCCTCCCTCCCTTGGGTCTGGACTTCAGAAGCCCCTAAAATCTCCTTCTTGGGGAGTGGTCGGTGCTGGTAAATAACCTTTCTCTGCTATGAGCTGATATGCCGTGTTCTCAGAATCCAGGTGGCTCCTTGGGGTTGCTCAGCATCGCTGCGGTGCAGGCTTCGATGTGCCCTCGCATGTGGCTGACAGCACACGGTGTTGTGGGGTGCACCCCTAGTGGCTAGCCGGGTTTGCTCCTCTAGACTTGCATCTGAGGAACTGAAAAGCTGAAGATTGAGGATTCCACACGGCACAGCTGCTGGCCCTGCCCAGCCATCCCACGGGTGGCCTTGGAGGTCGGGTTTCTCTCTCTGTGCTGAGCAGGTGCGCTCGGAGGACCTCAGCAGCCCAGAAGATCACTTCTCCCAGGGCTGCTGACTGCCCTTCTAACCAGCAGCTTTATTCTTGCGACCCTGGGAAGCCAGGGCCATGCCTGTGTTGGCCCTTCGTGACCACAGTGTTCCCTTCCAGGCTGGCTTTTGTCTGGGTCCTGTCCTGCAGTCCTGGGGGCTGCAGTTGACGGAGCAGCGGTCACAGTCTACCATGGTAACCGCCTTACGTGCCTCCTGGTGACGGGTGGGCGCTGGGATTTGTGGGCTTGCTTCACTCCTGGCTGCTCCTGTCACCTCCGTCCCAGCCTGTTGCCTGGGTAGGGAGGGGCTCTGCGGCAGCCTTGCTGACAGGCGCTCTGTCTGTCTGTGATCTCACCCAGCTCGTGGGGATTGTGATTGGAGCCCTCCTGGCCCTCGCCCTTGTTGGCATCACTGTCTTTTTTGTGTATAGGAGAGTTAACCGATTCCGTGAGTATCTTACTTCAGATATCCACCTCTATGGGGAAGGGACAAGGGCTTGGGAGAGTGGGGGAAGGTTCGGTGACCTAACCCCTGTTGTGAGCTTCTAGGAGCAGCCCTCAAGCCTGTGGTGGCTTTGGGTGGGAATTGTTGGCCTGAGGCTGTGCACGCCAGACCTATGGGATTTGAGTATGTTCCCAGCTTTCTAGGCTCGCAGAGACCCTTTTCTGAATGACCTTCCATTTCACTGGGTACGAAGGGCTGCGAGTCCTGTTCGAAGGGCTGCGAGTCCTGTTCCCTGTGATCCAGTCTGTGCCAGCCTGGGCCCCAGACGCTGGGTGCCATTCCCTGACACCATAAACCGTAGCAGGGGCAGGATAGGCTCGGTGTGTGTGCCCTATGGGCTGCTTGGCAGAGCCTTCCTGCCTGCCTGTGTCCCAGCCGTGGCTCAGGAGGCCCCTCTGCTCCCCTTGCAGGACAGGTACAGCCCACTCCGCAGTACAGATTCCGAAAGAGAGACAAAGTGATGTTTTACGGCAGGAAGATCATGAGGAAGGTAACTTGTGCCGCAGGCCCTGTGTTCCTACAGGCCCCAGCGGTGGGGGCCCCAACAGCCTGCACCTGCCCTCATGCCACATTGTGGGGTCCTCCTAACGTTCAGAGACTGTTGGCCAGAGCAGAGACGGAGGGCTCATTGGCCCTTTGAGGTGCATATTCGTCTCAGCTGGAAAAGAGGACAGGGTCTCTTTCAGGAATATTCTGGGGTGCGTGGACACACAGGGTTCTGGCCATGGTGCTGAAATTGGGGGTCCTGCCAAGATTTGGAAGCTAGGAGGCCTCACTTCTCAGTCTGGTGGAGCCCTGCCTGGTCACCCCCAGTCTCTTCCGCTCCCCTGAGGGCAGGAGGGACCCCACACTTCTCAGAGGCTTAGTGTACTCGAAATGGGTGTTTAAAATAACTCCTGGTATTTTAAAATAGTCGCGATTTGTTACTTGTTCTGAATAAGCAGTTAATTCATGTTCTTTGTAGCAAACTCGAAATACCACACAAGAAGCCATGTGAGTCCTTAGGTGGACCTCCTGTTCTCCTGGCCATGAAACAAAGACACACTGGTGCTGCTTGCAGGCCATGATGCTGGCCTAGAGCCTGAACGGGATAGGGCCAGCTCTTAAAAGGCTGTCGAAAGGGGCTGCTGTGCCAGCGTGACAGAGGGGAGGCTGAGTGTCAGCTTTGCAGGCAGAGGGAACACAGGCCTGAGGATCCAGCACTCTGAGAATGCTGGCTGTTTGGTGATACGGCCAGGTGGCACTTCATCGTCAACGGCACCAGGGATGGTTCCCTGTGCCCAGGGCAAGTGGGGCAGGTGGGGCAGGCAGGGAAAGACCCTGGGAGCTGCTGTCACACCTGCAGGCAGCCCAGCCCCTGAGGGCTGCGGTTGACCCCTGAGGTTGACCCCTGAGGCTGAGGCTGGGTCCAGTAGGTCACAGGGTCAGGATTCGGCCTTTCCCTTCACCTTGCAGGTGACCACGCTGCCCCACACTCTTGTGGGGAGCACGGCTTTCCCCCGGCAGCGGGCAAGGAAGAGGACCAAAGTGCTGTCTTTGGCCAAGAGGTACTGGGAATGTCCTTGAGACCACACGTGCCCCAGCTGGCCTCCCTGGCGGGCCCTGGTGAGCCTGCTGGCCATCGCTGCTGCCTATGGCTTCCCTGCCTCTGGGTTTGCAGTACTCCTGCCATCTGCTTCGAACCCCTTTGGGCTTCTGCTCCAGAGGCACGTATCTCTGCTTTGTAGGATTCTGCGTTTCAAGAAGGAATACCCAACCCTGCAGCCAAAGGAGCCACCACCCTCCCTGCTGGAGGCGGATCTCACAGAGTTTGACGTGAAGAATTCTCACCTGCCATCAGAAGTTTTGTACATGCTGAAGAATGTGAGGTGAGACCAGCCGGGTGAAGGAGGCTGCAGGAGGCCTGGGGCTGTGCTCCCTAGGACTGCCCGAGCTAAGTTTACCTTCCCTAGCCGTCCGCACGGCCTCTCACAGCTCTTTCCTGTTTAGTTTAGTATTTGTTTACTAATCAGCATTTCCGTGTTCGTGAGGAAACTCAGAGCAGCTATGGGAAGTGTGTGGCTGGATCAAAGCTGCAAGTCTGGGTTCCCTTCCATCTCTGCCCAGAAACCCCATTCTTTCTAGTGGCGCTTCACCATCCAGGAGGGGTGTCCTGTCCACCTGCTTTTGCTTATGTCTCTGGTTCAGATTCATAGTCATGGCTCAAGAGTTCTTCGAGCTGACGGGAAAGCAGTTTATGGGAATTCCCGAAGTGTAAGCTTCTGTCTTGACAGTGACTCCAGGTGGCCAGTGCTGCAGGGTCTGCTTCTCTGTGAACTCTAGCCCTGTGGGTCTGACCAGCAGTGCCTGTGGCAGTGGCTGTATTTGCATCAGCCTCTTTGAAATGCTGTCCTTCCTTCTCTCCTTTCCAGAAGGTGTCCCACATGTGCTATGGTTCTTACAGGGTCCTGGGCCACTTTGAGAAGCCACTGTTCCTGGAACTTTGCAAACACATGATCTTTGTACAGCTGCTCGAAGGGGAACACGTCTTTCAGCCGGGGGAACCAGATACCAGCATCTATGTAGTGCAGGATGGGCGCCTGGAAGTCTGCATCCAGGACGCGGTAAGAGCGCCTGTCACGTGTGTGGATGGCCCAAGGGAGTGCAGAGCATGGTGGAGGGTGTGGGTCTGTTGTGTATGTTGTTTGTTGTGTTTCTTTTTTAAGTAAGTTCTACACCCAACATGGGGCTTGAACTCACCACTCTGAAATCAAGAGTTGCATGCTCTACTGACTGAGCCAGCCAGGCGCTCATGTTGTGTTTTTACTTAGATGTCTGCCATTGAAAACATTTTTTTAAGTTTTATATTGAAAAGTTAGTATAACATTTTAAGTTTCAGTTCTTTGGGGAAAATGGCACACTTTGGTCCCGGCATTGGCACACAGCTGCCCTTCAGTGTTGCTACGTTACCTTCACTCATGCATGTGGGGGTACCCATGGGTTAGTGGGCTCAGTGGCATTTGGTGGTTTTCTGCCTTTTACCTGTTCTAAGCCTTTTGAGATGTCTCTCCAGTTTCCTGAGAACACCCTCAGCAGTTGGGTGTTGACCTGCCACCATCAGTTGTACCCTTGCCTGTTGTGAATGATTTTAACTCTAAGAAAATAATTAAGGTATTAATTCAGCTGGAAACGCAATACTTGCTTCCTGCCTCTGTTAATTACACCCATGAATCAGACGTCCCAGGGAGCAACTTCCAGGCCAATCAAGCCTGTGGAAGTCTTGCTTTCCAGCAGTCTTGTATCCTTTGATTTGTCCAGGGGAGTGACCCAGGCTTCCCACTGCTTGTTATTGTTGAAGCAGACACTCAGTGAGCCCCAATCTGCACAAAGTGGCCCCTGACCTTAGGGAAGTCCCCACCTGCCAGGACCCTGGGGTGGGCCCTGACCCAGAATGGATCCCACATATTCTTCGGGTTTCTAGATACGATGTTGTCCGGGCAAAATTACTGTGTGTGTGTGGCTTCATCCCACACTGGACTTGATGGGATGATGAGAGAAGAAATGGTCCTTGTCTAGTTTCCTCCTAGACCATCAGCATCCAGGGTTATTGTTTCCCAGCTAGCAGGCCTTTCCTGAAAATGTGACTTTGGGCCAGAAGGAAGGGTTCTTGGAGGGTGACCAGGGCCAAGTTTGAACAAGTTCAAAAAGGAATTTCCTGGGTGAAGCTGAGAAGTTCCTGTATTAAATAAGCACCCGCTTTTCTTTCTCTTTTAATCCAGTGGAAAAACACATCAAAATGCTATTATTTATGCCAGTAACAACCGAATTTGGTCCTTAGAACTTTTTGTTTGGGCCAGCACACTCACTTAGGTTTTATGAAATTCAATCTAAGTCCTCCTAGTGAGAATAAGCCCTGGGTTGAAGGGCCACGCCCAGGCCGAGCTTCCTGATTGCTCTTAACTCATCTTTGTTTTTTCTGTCCTCTGCTTTGGAGCTTATTCCACCTCTAATTCCTGAAGGTCAAGTAGGGCACAGCCTAACCCTCGGGACAGGCGACAGTGGAGGCTGTGTTGCCCAGCTGGCCTGGGCTGGGCTGAGCCACCTGTCAGGGGATGACTCTGCTCTGTTTCCTGAGTGCAGGATGGCACCGAGGTGGCGGTCAAGGAGGTTCTGGCTGGAGACAGCGTCCACAGTCTCCTCAGCATCCTGGATGTCATCACTGTGAGTCTCGTGGGTCTACCCAGAAGTCACCTGGACAGCATGTCCCTCACTGCCGAGTCCAGTTCTCCCCAGTGGCGAGGGGCTGGCCTAGGACGGGAGGGACCCCTAGCAGGTCAAGGGTGTGTGGGAGAGCAGCTTTAACTGTGTGTTGAAGGAGAGCTGGGCATTTGCTCACGGGTTTTGGCTATCTCTTAAATGATTATTGTTATATACACGTGGTCTGAGATGCAAAAGGCACAAATGTTGTGAGTGAAAACACTTCCTCTCACCCTTTAGGCCCCAAGGCCCCTTCCTAGGAGGGCCCTCCCATGGATCTTCTGTGGTAACGGGTGTCTCTCTGTTGTTCCCAATCTCCTGCTGTTGACTGGTTTTGTGTGCACACCACTCCATATGTTTGAGGATCAATTTGCAAGACAAATCCCTAGCAGAGACTTCCCAGGTGTGAGAGTGCACCCCCCACACGCCTGAGCCACGGTCCTGCGGGAGGACACCTGTGTCCTCACCCCACCAGCTAGGGAGCCATCTCATGTTTGATCTTTGCCAGTCCAGTCAATTAAAAGATAAAATTTCATGTTATCTTGGGATTTTTAAACTTTTTATCATGGTACACTTGAAACATATTCAAAAGTAGACAGAATCGTAAAATTAATCGTGTGTGCATCACCAGCTTCAAAAAGTCTCAGCTCAGCATGACTATTCCCATCTCATTAGCTAGAATTTAATGTTTAATTTTCTTTTTCTCGTGAGTAAAGTCTTCATACAATGAAGCAAATCTTAGGTGTCTGCTACCTGAGCTTAGATAATGCACACACCTGTGTAGCTCAAAAGGTGGCATGTGATTGTCACCTTACCTTCGAAGTTATACTTTCTGCTTTCACTTTTAGCTATGCATTGAGGCAGCTTATACCTCAGTTTCCCCAGAAACTGCACAGAGGAGTCTCTAGAGCAGTTCAGCAGACCTTGGCAAGGATGCATCCGTGTGGGGCCAGGAACCTATGTACTTGTGTGACACTCACATGGTGGGCGGAGCCCTTGGTGGGTGTCCTCTGATCCAATTCTTGAGTTCTTGTGCACAAGGGGGTGATAAACTCCAGAGACTTTGAGGGTGCCCATTGTTTTCACCCATCCCTGTTAGGCTGGCACAGACATGTTTTGAGCTGTGGTGGGGCCTGGGGTGGAGGCATGGATAGGACTCCGGCGTCTTGCTCTGGCCCCAGGACCTGGTGTGCCTTCACGAGATGCTTGGCCAGGGCTGAGAGGGACACTACCTCTGAGCAAGGCAGACCTGCCTTGGAAGGCCAGCTGGGGGCAGCCTCAGCCTGGAGCCTTGTGCTGGGAGAGGCTACCCAGACGTGCAGGACAGGCCCCATATGGCTGTGTAGGGCTCTGGCTGGTGTGTTGGAATCTGTAAGGTGCACAGTTTTCTTTCTGTAAAGGATGTGAAATGAGCAGAAATGATTCCAAGGAGAAGAGCTGAGTCCCAGAACTCACTTAGAGCATTTGAGAACCACATGCCCAGAGTTCCCGATGTACAGGGCTTGGTTAGGAGGTCGGGACTAGCCCACTCCCCCATTGTGGGCAAACTTCCAGTTACACTCAGCTCCCTCCAGAGACTGCTGGGCCCACCCTGGTAACACAGACATTGCTAACATGTGAGGACTTACAAGGGTTGAGGGGCTCCCCCTGAAACCAGGGACCCGGACCAGCCAAGTTCCTGACCATTCAACCCTGGCGGTGTAGATGTGGTATACGTGTGGGCCGCTGAGACTCATCCGTGGCAGGGCGGGGGGAAGGGAGGCATGCAAGTGGTGCAGCCACTGTGGAAACAGCATGGTAGTTTCTTGAAAGTTAAAGATGCATAGACCGCATGGCCCAGAAGTTCCACTCCTGGATATTTAGCAAGAGAAGTGAAAACTGTTTGCACAAAATCCGGTGCGTGAACATTTATAACAGCTTATTTATAATTGCCCCAAACTGGAAACAGGCCCAGTGCCCTTCAGCTGCTGGGTGGTAAGGACACTGTGAAGCATCCATAAAATAACCCCGTTCTCAGCCATGAAGAGTGCCACTGCTGGTGTGTGAACAGCATGGCGGGCCTCCAGCTGCTGTCTCTGTGAGAGGAGCCAGACCTGTGTGGTTCCATTTATGTGACCTTTTGACAAAGGCAAAGCCATCAGGACAGAGAAAATCCCAGGGGTTGCCAGGAAGCAACAGTGGAAGGATAGGCTGGTGCCAGCAGAGGGTGGCATCCTCGCCAGAAAACGGGTTTCTCTGTAGTGCCAGCTGGCTCCTCTGAGGTGGTTGGTGCTTGGAGCCCGCTGGCCATCTGCTTCCCGTGCAGGGCAAGGCTCCTCAGGGCCCTCGTGGGTGTTCCGTGTGGGGCAAGGTGCTGGCATCTCGCCCCTTCTGGAGACAGGGTGCTGGGAGCGGCCTGACCTCGCTGTCCTTGCAGGGCCACACTGCTCCATACAAAACCGTGTCCGCCCGCGCGGCCGTCCCTTCCACCGTCCTCCGGCTCCCAGCAGTGGCTTTTCAAGGAGTTTTTGAGAAGTATCCTGAAACCCTGGTGAGGGTAGTGCAGGTGGGTCGCTTTTGCAGTCCCCCTTTCTGGCCTGGGAGTCACTGCACGCACATGAAGGCGCATCCCGAGTGGGTGTAGAAAGGATTAAGGTGGCTTTTTGGAAGTTTTGTAATACATATTTTACAATAAAAGTTAACATTCATGACCTCACAGAGGTCCTCGGAACTCCTACCAGCCCCCAAGAGGGTTCTTTTTTTATTATTAAACTTGTTTTGAAGTAATCTTAAAGATTTACCAAAAACTTGCACACATGATGCAGAGAGTCCTTACGTCCCTAGCGTC